TATTTTTGGTGAAAATAGGGTATTGGGTCTTGGTTTAGGAACCAATCCCCATTTATAACATTGTTTCCTATGGGAAAATCAGTTCCAAGTTATGTTTCAGCTTAAGACATGGTTTTCAGGAACCAATTGTGTTGTAAGTCCAAGGACTGCCTGTAGATTGAGCAAGGTGGGAGTGACTGGAGGAGAGCATTTGGGATCCATTTTGAAGTAGAGTGAGAATTTGAAAGAGTGATTGGGAGGCAGTGAGAGAAGGAAGAGGATGGGTTAATGAGGTGAAAGAGAAAAGAGACAAGGGAAAAGTCATTATGTTATGGTGGCAACATTGGGTATACCAAGACAAAGCAAAGCAATGCAATGGAATATATTTGTTATTGCTCTTGCCCAATTTTTGTATTTGTTACAGAGGAGATGAATTGATCACAAAACAATGTACTCGGATGTAGGAAGTTTTGGGTATTGTACTTGCAGGAAACCCACCCATACCTACCTTTTTTAATTCTATCTTTGAATTTGTCAGATCATGGAGATAAATGCTCTGGTTAGATTTATAAAAGGGCAGATCAATTTTATGAGTACTAATAGAATTTTATCTATGCAAGATAAAATAATGTAATCAAGTCTGTTTCATGGCATAATTTGTCTACTATATACAGCATTGCACAGTTACTTAGATGCATTATTGTTGTTTCACTTTCTTTCAAAGCCTCAGGATGTGGCTGCTACTAGAGGCAGTGTAGGAAACAGACAGACCAAGTCTCATATCTGTTATGGTGAATCATGTTATTCTTTTGCAATATCCCCTATCTGCTCTATATGTGATGGTATAAATTGAAGGGTAACAGGACACTATTAAGAACTGCATTCTTGCACAACCAGGTTACAGGCAGTTTTTTTTCCCTTTGTTAAGGATTCCATGTGGCTTTTTTCACTTACCCATACCTGTAATGCTACATTTAGAGACATGCTGTATTTCTATGTTCTTGGATGGCTCATGAATATTCTCCCAGGACAGATGGTGTTTGAGTTTCACTCAACTGAATGTTCTAATCTATTTTAGGACACATTTACCTGTTTAACAAGGGGAGGATCTGAATATTAGATGGCAATGTGAAGAGCTATGCAAGTTCTAAGTGCAAAGTTCCTTAGTTTTAAAAGGTCTGCTTTGTTAGGATTGTGGAAGCCAGCCTTTTACCAGTTACCTTTTGACTTCCGCTTACTGCCTTCTCAGGAACATGACGTGAAAGGAGATTAGTCCTGTGAGCTATGCTTAATTTCTATTTCTGCATCTCTCTTGCATGCTCATTGTCTTAGGTGGAAAGCCTGTAGAGGCCTAGATAATATTCAGGTGGATGGTGCTGTCCTTCCCTTGAGGTTAAGTTTGATTTGCAGGCATGTGGTATATAATACTTTGCCCCTCATTGCTAATCTGAAGACTCAGATATAGATCTCTCACTCCCTTTTCTTCCCCATGCTGTGGAGTCCCTGTCTGTGGCCTGTTAGTAAGGAGCATAAAAATTCAGCTATAACTTGGAAGATACAACCCCATTATCTCTTGCCTACTATAAAGATTGTGATGCAAAAGCAATGAAATCTTACTTGGTTGTGGCAGTTGAGCCTTATTCTGTAGCAGTTTGTTTGGCTTTTTGTCTTGGCTTTTTAAAACATGAGTTTCTGAATCATTTTATACATTTGATGTGGCCATGCAGCCTCTTAGCGCCTCTCTAGCATGCTTATCCACCCACAAGCAAAGGTGCTGGGGAATAGCATACAGGTGTTCTCACTACCATTGCAGTAGCTTTTGTCTTGAAATCTGTCGTCAGCAATCCTCTCATGTTTGGTCTTGTGTTGGCATGCAGCTCCACCATTAAAATAGTAGGATACCGTTGTTCATACCACCATACCACCTAAACCACCATGCTGTGGTAAGAATGACATTCAGTTTATGCTGGTGCCTCAGTTTTTTTCTAGCATTTTTCATATGAAGATCTACAAAGACAATTACTATATAAGATTAAATTAGTAGCACTAGTAGTAGTGCCGTAGCTACAACTGGTATTGCTATATTGCATATGCATCAATGTGCAATGTGCTAGCCTAAATAAGGTGCTCTTTGCCTCCAGCATGCCAACCACATGCCACCTAGACTCAGCTTTTACCAGTATTAGATAACATATTGGCTTAAAACCTCTATGCAGGACAGCTCCATTATTAATG